CGGAAACGCATTGGAATCAAAAGGTAAAGAAGACATATTCATGAGCAATGAAGAGGGGGCAGATCCAGTGGATGGCGGTGGAGCACCTTGGCGTAGGTTGCCATTCGCTATGGACCAAGTGGGGGAAGAGGAGGAAGGGGAAGTGCTCGACTAATTTGATCACATTTATCACATATACAGTGGATGGCGGTCGTCCCCCTTATCGTTGGTTTGCCACTCGCCAATGAACTGAACAAAGAAGAAGAAGACAATGAGGAGTTTATTGGCCAATGGATTAGAATTCAAAAAGTATATAGAATATTTAAGCAGTAAATCAGCAGTATGTATGTAGAGGAAACATGGTTGAGACAAAATTTGGATTTAAGAATAGATGGATACGCTACTGTTGTGATAGGAAGGAGGGATTATGGGATGTGCTACATTCATAAGGGAAGATATGTCCTGCCTTAAACAGTGACTGCATCATGTAATAACTATTCATTATACTAGTTTGTTGTTTGCTGATAGATCTTTATCAATACGCAATACAGTATGCACTCCATCTAATGTGAAGGAAGGGAATTTTAGGTACACTGAAACTAAGTTGCTGTCCCTAGTTATTTATGTGTGTGTAATTCTAAATATATACTAGAAACTAGTAGAATAGAAAACATGCGCATTGTGACATGGTTTCCTTTGTTGTTGCTCTTGTGATCAACCTAGTGAATAATAAAGAAGACCATTGTCTCTGTGTGAACTGTTGAGTATTTAACAATTGTGTGTGTGAGGGTATTCAAATAAATAGTTAAGTGAGTCAGAGATGTGCTACTATATTTAACTTTTTGTTTTAAAACATTTTTTATAAATAATTATGAGAAGTGCCGTTTTTCTGGAGCCCCTGCCCCATAAAATGTCTGCACACATCCCTGGGGGGGGGGTTAAGAAAAGATGGTAATGGGGAGAAGAATTGCTAGAAGAAAAAGATACAGTTTGTCTAAATGATGGTAGAGGGACTAGGTTAGATGTACACACAGGGAACAACTCAGCACTAGACTTAACCTTAGTGTCAATGAATGTAGCAGGGATATGCGAGTGGGATTGGAAGAAACAACGGTAGGCAGTGATCATTTACCAGTGTTGTGTAATGTAGCACTACAGAGAAATTAGGAACAAAGTGAAAAATTTGGGGAAGTGCGTTTTTAGCAGTGCTATGTTGGAAGTGTTTAGGTTTACATGTGAGAAAGAAATGGCTCAAATAGACTTATGAAGATATTGAGGAGATGGATACAACTTTATAGAAAAAAGGAAGAATGAAGAGAAAGGTGGTTCCTTGGTGGACAGATGAGTGTGGCCAAGTAGTGAATAACTCATACTATACAGAATTAATTAAGTATAAACAAGCACAAGCAAGGGTTAGGAAAATAGTACGAAAAGCAAAATGGCAAAGTTGACAATCTTTTTGTAATAAAATAGGGAGATCAACACCTGTGGGAGTTGTTTGGGGCATGATTAGGAGGATGAGGGGAATCAGAAGGTAATGGCAGTATCCAGTACTGAAGATGAAGAGAGGTAAGAGATGATAGAGAAAGCACTTATTCAAAGCCATAGTTCTGAAAACTGAGGATGGCAAGAGAGGAAGGGCAAGGACGAGATCAGCTCATCCTGGAAGTCTTGAGAGAAGGGACGATACTAACAGTACAACGGATGCTCCATTCACTTTGGAAGAAATGAGGAGAGCAATAGAAAGTTCTGTGCTAACATCTCCAGGGAAGGATGGAATCAGTTATACAATGTTAAAGCAGTCAGGTATAGTAGCATCACTGAAGCTGTAAGGTTTGTATAATAAGGTATGGGAGGTGGGGGAAGTTGCCAGTTGGTTAGAAAGAAGCGGTGATTGTTCCTATAAGGAATCCAGGGAGGGATCCATCAATCCAATGAACTATATTATAGCACTGACATCACATATGGGAAGAGTAATGGAATAAATGATTATGGAAAGATTTGAATTGTATTTGGAAAGCAGAGGAATCGTATCTCGCCATCAGAGTGGATTTAAGAGACGAAGAGGGACCATGGTTATTTAATCCATGAGCATGGTGGGTCAAAGGTCATGACGTCATTGTCACAGTTAAGAGCACACCCCCAACCAAATCTTAATTAATGGTTTAACACCTCCACTTGCTCTTACACTGCACAAAACATGTAGAACATTTACACTGACAACATTTCATCAGTCTTACACCAAACATAAAACTCATGAATCTGTCCATTTTTGGCTTTGTTACAGGTTTTGTGAAAACATCTGCAACCTTGTCTGCAGTTTGAGAATACTCTATGTTTATTCTGCAAAACGTTACAAGAACACATGAGTGACAAAAAAGAAATACACATCAAGTAACATAACAGAAACAAAGAGAAACCAACAGTTATGCACTAGGAGTGTTTATGTATTAAAATGAATATTATATATTATATCACAGAATCATATATGCATATTTTTTTATTTACAAGGTAAAAGGTAGATATTTTTCCTGTGTTTGAAATGTTTCCGGTAATAAAATAGCGTTTGGCTTTTAACACTTTATATTTATGGATATATGGGGCAGAAAGCTGAATCTGAATTCTTAGAAATGAAACATAAGACACATCATGCGTGTCAATGAAGCTTTCAGCCAATCAGAGCAGAGTTGTGACATCACCCCAGGCTGCTGCAGCTGGAGGAGAGCAACTGCACGGTCTGACTGTGAATGGCTGTTTCCCTTTAAATGTCAGCTCTGGGATAAGCTGGCGTCGTGCTAATTCTTTTAACGTGTGAAAGAGGCATTGATGCTTCTACGTGTACCTGTCATTTGCCACTATGTAAACATTACTTCTGTCAACTCCTGTGATTTTGTGTCAACAAGATGTGGTTTATGGCACCTCTTCACGCCTGTGCATTAACATTTAAAACATCAACATTAAGAACTAAAGCAGAACATTTTAAACTAAGACTTTATAAGCAGACAAATAACAAATGATTGTGGAATCTAACAATTTTTCTGCACTTCCACTCACATAAGTCTACTGACCGATTGCATAATCAGAGCAAAAACAGCACATGATGTCCCTCAGTAGTTCCATATGTCTTGCATTGCCAAAATTCTGTTCACTATTAAGTTCATTGTTGTAGAGCACAAGGCAACAATTAATGAGAGAGGACTTGAGATGATGTGTATCTTTCTCCTGGCTAAGGAGGGAAGCTTCCACAGCAATAGAGTAAAGAAGTCCACCAGCAGCAGAGGGGCCCACAACTTGAAAAAAGTAAAATAACACAACACACGTGAGAATTGACTGATTACTTTAGTCAGGGCAGCTGTGGGAGTGAAAAATCTCAGCCCAAATTAGCCAGTTTACAATTTCTTGAAGATTTCCCCCATTCCACTGCTCGAGGTAGCTGCACCACAAATCCTGGTACTTCTGTTGCAAAGGAAGGATAACTTAACCATTGGAGCCAGTCAACAAAAGCTTGCAGGAAACAAGACAAAGTTATTAATCAATCAATCAAACACTTTATTTGTATAGCCCATACTAACAAATCACAATTCATAGGGCTTAACAGGATGTGACATCCTCTGCCCTTAACCCTCAACAAGAGAAAACTGTTTTCTTCCCCAATTATTCACTTGTTTTTAAGATATCAACCATAGAAATAGAATGATTATTCCATTTGACCTAGACTGTCTCCACATAAGCAAATGCTTAATTATGTCAAGCTCTTCAGAACTTACTCAGAACTTTCCACACATGTTCAACAAAGTCCCCACTCGTCCAGTCTTATTTCTCTATAGAAGTAGTTCACTCACTGAAACCATATCATTTCCCTGCCAAAAAATAACCACAGCCACTGGGGAAAGAGCTAGCATGCAACTGTCACTCTACAAAATGCTCATTCATTTCCCACTGAAATAATTTAAATGCCTACTCTTTTTACGCCCAACCTCAATTTATCATAGTAATGCCCTCAGAAACCTCTAAAATATCACTGACAAATGATTATGAACAGCAAGCTTATGTTAACCAAGCCACTTATTTATTAAAATGACCTTGCTAATGTTATATGTAAGATGTCAATTATTCCAAGCTTTGCAAAAAATAACCTACTTTAAAGGTACAGTGTGTAGAAATTAGTGACATCTAGTGGTGAAGTTGGATGTTGCAGCTGAACACCCCTCACCTTTATATTAACATCAGGAGGGTCCACTCCTGATGTTACTATAAAGTATTTAAATGAAAAGGGCCCGCTCTAGGTTAGGTTGTTGCTGTTTACACTCTCACTCTTCTCTCCCTTCGTCTTTATTTTGCACACAAAGCTTGGCATGGACAAATATAGTCAAGTGATCCAGGAAGAGTTTGAGTCGACATTCTCGGTTGCTTTACATCACTAAGTACCACCTTGTAATGTTTTTGCAGGTCATCTACAGTGAGTTATGCTAAAGTGAGCTAACCAGCTGCTCGCTCCAGCATGTGTGTGTGTGTGTGTTTGTGTGAAATGCTACATTATAAGCTGCAGTTACTGGATGCCATTCTGACAACTCGATCCACAACCCACACTAGTGTTTTCCACATATACTGCAGCTGGACTCTGTGCACAGATAAAGAAAAGACATTTTGGAGTATTTCTTATACTCTACAACACAAGTCAAATAAAATATTAAACAGTTGGCTCTATGTTATATTAATGGCAGAATTCGCAATGACCCTAAAGCTTAAATATTTCTCACTGTGTTTTTTCCTACAGGGATGCAGTAAGAGATGCTGTATGTTGGACGGTGGAGGATAAAGTGTGTGGTTGGGACTGAAGGCAGCAGTATTAATGAACTATTTTATCACTGGTCCAGAGCCCTGTGACTTGCAGCACCTGCGGAGAACAAATCCTCTTCTTCACTGTGTCGTGGGAGGAAAATTAGTCAGGAGACAACATAACCTAGTGAGTCAACCTGCTCTAATATCAAGTGGCTTGGTGTTCAATGTATTCAATGAAGTCATTTTGCCACCACCTGGTGAATGAGAGCACATAGAGAGTGATTAGAAAATGAGGATTACAGAGCTAAAAAGCTGTCATCATAGTTGTGGAACTAGATGAAGCAAGTGTCATGTTAATAGGCTTTCCAGCATATTGTTATCTTGATAATTGGCATATTTTAATAACTACCCTTGTTAATATCCTATTGCATCTTTCCATGATAGTGCTTATAATTCTAAAACAGTTCGTTATCCTGATTTATGCTCAAGAATAATGTATAAATTGACATTAACTCAAGCAAAATTCTGTACTGTAAACATCTAAGTAATTAAAAAAAAAAAAAAACGATTTATTGTGCACAAACGACCCAGTTTTCTATGGAGTCATGCACAAATGCACTGGGAAATAACAACAATGAAAACATGGCATGAAAAAATGTCTCTGAGGTGGCTGAGGCTGCATCAGTCGGTGAAAACAAGTGCACAAAGGTAGCAACAGACTGCAAAGTACTTGAGGCATTAAAAACATGGAGCAAAACAACATGATCATCAAACAGCACGTCTCCAACCATGTATAAAATGCCAGTGCAGAAAAGAAATGTTTTGAAAGCATATCCAGGAGAGCAGCAATAATGTTGCTTCAGTCCTTATAAAGGACCAAGTAGTTAAATAATGCTTATTACTGTACATGTAGCCATTTTTCTTCCCCCCTGGCTGTGTCCCAATTCTATACTGCATACTAACTTTTTATAGAATGCAAGATAAGCTGACTGTCCTTGATACTGTCTTTAGTGGTTTCATACCAAAGAAGAAAAAAAAAATTATTAATTAAATTTCATTTCAGTAGAATTTTTCAACAATTATTACATCATTTCTTCACAAATAATTATTTCTGCAACTATGTCATGACAATCCTCCATTTATTTTATTTCTTTGAGCTGTGAGTGGCTCCTTAAAGAGGCTGTATTAATCAATATGTTTATATCAGCAATGGATCAAATGACGATATGTATGTTTTATGTGTTTACTGCTGCCAACTGGCCAAAACGTGCAGACCCTTATCGGTTATATATTGGAAGTGAAGTGTGTGTGTGTGGCATAACAAAGTGTTTACATCAGTGAATCGAGACAACAGATTCAATGTGACTACTGAGTCTGTCGAGCTCATTCGTCACAGCTGGTTGACACAGGGAGAGCACAGGGGCCTATTATTACCAGCCAGTTAATGCATAACTGCAAGTGCAAACACCATGAAACTTCACAAAAGGCTAAATGCTAATATATCCAGTTTGTATAAACATGAGTGCTAATGATCTCACAATCCGTTAAAGGTTTGTTGGAGGCAAAGTTGAAGTTAATGAGAAATTCCCCTGATTGGATATCTTCAAGATATGTAGTAAAAGCTTGAAATAATTGACTGATGATTGCCCTTGGTTTTGCAGAAAGAAGCTTTTAAGCTTAACTTTCTGGTCAACTAGTGGTTTTCACTTATTCTAATGAGGGGCTAACTACCTGTCATGGTGAGTGTAATTTATTGTAACGAAGCACATGGTGAGATAGATAACCAGCATCGTGGGTCCTGAGGACAGGAGTCAGAGCCACTGTATTTAAGAAACAAATCACTGTGGTCATTAACACAATGCAAACTAAATGTCAATTTTTCAATTAGCAAAGGGAAAGAAGCAAAGGGCAAAGTGATTTGTAGCGACGAGTTAATGAGTAAAAGTCAGAAAAGTGACCAGATACCAAAGGACAGCTCAGCAAAGGGAAATTACAAATGGCAAAAGTCTGAGATTATGGGCCTCCTTCCCTCGGAGTTTGGAAAAAGGTCCCTCCTCACCCTGCCCTTGTTTACTTGCCTCCAGTTTTCTAAATTTCTGGATGCCTATGTTATCGTCTATCTCTCCGTCATCTTTTTAAGGGGGTAGCAGGGGGATGCTGGAGTCAGTCCCAGCTGACATTGGGTGAGTGGTGTGGTAAACCCCGGACAGATCACCAGTGTATCACAGGGCTAACATACAGAGACAACCACTCATGCTCACATTCACAGTGGGAGGAAGCTGGAGTACCTGGAGAGAACCCACACAAACACATGGAGAGAATGAAAACCGAACCACGAACGTGAACCTTGTTGCTGTGAGGCAACAGTGCTATAACCACCCCACCACTGTGCTATCCCTTGTGTTATCATGGCAATGTAGTCATAATATTGCTGTTACATATATTTATGATTGCACCAAATACATAAAAAAGGTCTGTCCGAAGGCATTTATTTGTTTTAGACTCAAGGAAAGGAGCAAAAAAACCTGTAAAAATTCCCCCAAAAAACAATATTACTGACTAAAACCAAATCTGATCCCCTTTTGATGACTAATGTAAAAGACCGAACAGATTTAATATTCCTCACTCGTGAATTTTCCTTGACAATGTTTGGAGCCTCCCTAGGGGGGAGACTCAACACCCCCTTTTGAAACATCCAGGATCCGAATGGAATAGCTTGGCATTTTGGAGAATGCAATTATTCATTTGACAACAAGATCAACGTGATTCTGACCCGGGGGTTTGACCCAGTTGCCAACCACTGCTGGCAACTGCTGCTGCAGTTTATCCAAAGACAAGTTCGACTCACAGACAAACTGTTGGCACGCTGCAACCCCGATGACTGAAGAGAAAAAGAATAAATAGGTACTAGTCTAAGATGTGCCTTAGAGGTCCAGTGTGTAAGATTTAGGTGAAAGGGATTTTTGGCAGAAACTGAATATAAAATAATCCAAGTGATGTTTTCACTGGTGTGTTTCCTCTAAATTGTTTGAATTGTTGTTGTTTTTATCATAGAATAGGCCCTTTACATCTAAAAACTTTATATTCACATTGAGTTTTTATGACAACTGAAGTTCACCACAGGTTCTCTCTCATGTTGGGAAGGGTAGGGTGAGGTGAGGAGTATTCAGCTGCAACATGACACTTCGCCTCTAGACGTCACTAAATTCGACACACTGTACCTTTAAATCTGATCAATACAATGTTCAAATCAGCCTGCGATGTGAACATGGAACAATACATTGTTTCTTCTTAGTTGGCTGTCAGGAGGCGGCTATTGGCACAGACGGGTGCACAGGGAGTTTGGATCAATAATGAAAACACCACTATGTTTGCAATAACTGCTTTAAGCATCATGGATGGTGTTCTGTGTTCATGTGCTGATAGGGTCTCAAGGGTCCTTCTATATATATATGTTAAGTATATGCCACTGAGCCGCAAATGTAATCCAAGGATTCTAAATTACAAAGCCACAGAGAAAGCTAATTGTGTCTCTCATTACCTCCTTCATTCATTTAATCTGGGTTAACAAATCCTGCCATTGATCCCTGCGCTGGTGGGAGAGAAATAAGCACCCAAGTGGGCCCTGGGGAAATTGATCAGCCATTTACCGAACGGTAAGCTGATAAAACATTGAGCTGCGCAAATAGTCATTGCTTAGATTCTTTCATTGTTAGTGTATTACACAATGTAATGTCCTAATAACTGCTGGGAACATACACTGTATGTTTTAAAGATGTATATGTTGGTAAATGTGTAATTTCATTCCTGGGATTGTGCCTTTAAATACAATTCAATTCACTACAACCTTTGCTGTTTTATGCTTCTGATCATTTATCAGGAATTCCCTCGTCACCTCTCCGCACACAATACATTTTCCGCTTATATCGCTGCCTGAGTTAATTACTTTTCCTGTTAATTGTGTGCTGCCACCATCAAAAGCACCTGATAGGAAAGACCACAGTGTAATCCACACCGCAGCGAGCTGCTGAATCACTGCCTTTCTAAGATGAAATCCTGCATCATGCAGATTTTTGGCTCTAAACAAATCCATCCTTTGACTTTATACTGGCCTGAGAAACACCAGTTTAAAGTCGAATGGGGTTGCAGCTCCCTCCAGTGTAAAGGGATGGGCAGCAATGACCTATTAAAACCTGCCTGGAGCCACAGCATCAACAGAAATACCTGGAGTTGCTGGGTAAATATTCCACGGTAATAACATTTGATGTTTTTGCGTTTTTTCGCTCAATTCAATAAGCTCTAAAACAAATTGCCTCAGCAATATTTTTTTCCCTTTTGGAAAGCTATTCTGATTTTGGCCTTTATTTCGTATTTCCCCTGACGCATTATATCCTTCAGTCCCATTGATTTGACCCATTGTCTCGCACTGGAGGCTTTGGGGTTTTGATAACTGCCTCTGATTGGAAAACAAGGAGGCCCTGCAGCTACAGGGAGCCAACTGGAGACTGAGAAACTGTGGTCAATTCAATTTGCCACATTGATTGTGTTCATTGCTGCCAAGGTTAGTCCGTAACCCCATTTAATAAAGTGACCGTGTCAGTGGCCTTGTGTTTACCTGTCTGCACAAACTGGGACATTTGGTTTTGTTGCGATGCACAACAGATTTCAATAGACAAAAAACAGGATTTCATTTTTCTGGCAGTTGCAGAGAAGATTTGATTACATGCTATATTAAAGTAGATATTTGACCACTGATACTAGAGGATTGACTTGTTCTCGACCAAAGAGGTTAAGTTTTCGATGCTGTCTGTCTCTTAACAGGACTGATTCCCATATTGTGTGGACGGGTGGGGCCTGACCCAAGGAAGAACTCATTACAATTAGGAGCAGATTTGGATTTTTATTTCACTTTCTTTCAGGAGTTGGATTTGGCAGAGGTATGATCTTGCAGATACTCTTCAGGTTCAATGAATTAGCAGTTGTTTGGGTTTTCACAATGCTGTGGATGACACGTTCACTCATTTACACTGGTGGAATTTGAAGTGATTGGACCGTTGGACAGGTTTCTTGTCTGTTGGCCGAGGCCCTTTGTGATGTCTTCAGTAGAACAGGACAACAAACACATATTGTACTTACATTTGGCTTGCAAATGGTCCCATAAGATAAATCAGCTGCCCTTTAAAGGTTTCTACCACAACCGTGTCGGAAACTTCAACAAGGACCTAATAAAGCTTCTCCGCTCACTTAACGCTCCATCAGCTCAAGGAGGCTCCGGTTGTAGACGCCTCGCCTGCTGGCTTAAAGAATGCCAACCTTGAGAATGTGATGACATTTGTCATGTTGAAGTGACATTTTTAAAGCCGCCCTGGTGGCAATGAAGTGAGATGGGAAGCCATGTTGCCCAAAGTAACCTTTTCTTTCCAAGTTCCCTTCATTCTGACATTTTAAAAGATCTTGGGATGAGGTAGAGGGTGGGTCCGAGTTTGGTAGTGTCACACCAGCTCAGGGTAACAGTGAATGCTAAGCTGCTGGGAAGGATGTTCCTGATTTTTAAGACTGATTTTTTTTCTCTTTCACTGTTACTGGATTATACAGTCGAAATATTCGGTTGCTTTTTCAATCCAACCACCAAAAGTCAATATCCTTCAATACAGCACCACTGCAAGTGAAAAAGTATTTCATTTATAACAGGAAATGTACCGATTACAGGTTGCAAAAAAGTATTCCACAATTTAAAAGTTAATAACTGCAAAACCAATGTTTTAATTATATTAACACTCCAATGAGTCATGAAATACTTTAAAAAGGTTGATTATATCCAACAGTTCAAGGCAAAAAAGCAGAAAACAAAGGTCTAACA